GTGTGTGTGTGTGTGTGTGTGTGTGTGTGTGTGTGTGTGTGTGTGTGAGTGAGAGTGTGTATTTGTGTGTGTGTGGGAATTAACTATAATGGAACATGAAGGAGGTTTTCGGTTTCCTCATATGACAAAGTCAATAGCCTTTTAGTGACCACGTTCTTATCGTACACTCAGCCTAGGTTTTTTTATGATACCAAGTGACTACAAGAGATCCGAGGGACACTGACACCGCACCTATCACCCGGAGACGTAAGTTAAGAAGCCCCATATGCCTATACATATATGTTACGCGATAACTCCGGCATTTATGAACTGATTTTGATGATCCTTTTTTTGTTGGAAAGAGGATACCTCAGAAGTGGGCCCATTTAAATTTGAAGAAAATATTTCACCTCTAAGGGCGGCAAACTAAGAGGTGGAATTACTTTTGTGGTCGGTTTTCTTTTCACATTACCTACTGCGTGGCGACTGAAGTACGTAAGGTGGCAGTACTTCCTGGACGAACTCTTTCACAAAAAGCTCTACTGCTATTATCAGATTAGCCCCTTTTCATATTTGTTAATACATACATATTAACTACAAAATTTCAAATGCTCAATAAAGAAACTACGAAAAACTCGCAACTGATCAGTCCTACTACAAACACCTACGAATAACGAATTCCACAATTCATATTATTTTCAAGAAATTATAATAACATGTTTATGTATAGGACATTTCTGCCGCGGTTAGTTGAAAGTGTGCTTGTGACAAAAACTCAAAACCGAAAAAATAATGTGTTAAGAAATAAAATTAAAAAAACCTACTTTTGTCTTGCAGTAACTTCATACTTTATCCACCTAGGAATAAAAATATTGACAGATCGGCCTTTTTTTACTGATCACGGCAGTGCTTATACATAAACAATTTGTAAAAGAATGTCAGATGCGCCCTTTCAACTAAGCAGCGGCAGATTTTTGCATAAAGATAACTTATTGTGTAGTTAAAAATTTTTGTTTTTGTTTACACTGATATGGTAAATTAGGCACTTGACATTATATATTTTATTATGATGTGGCATTGGTAATATGAAATAGGGTATAATATTAAGCACATTATTCAATTTCCTTTATCCATTGTTATCTTTACGCATATTGAAGGTCGCAGTTAGTCACGTGCACCCACCTACCTCTACGTAGTATTAACATCAAACTTTATCTTTGTGTACAAACAACAAGAAATTAATTACATACACAGATTACTATAAAACGATCATATAGGAGTCTAATAACTAAATAACGGTTATTTTGTTTATTACAATTAAATGGATTCAAAATCTAACTTACAATCTCTAACTACTGCAGTCTACCCTTTTCATAGTCTATTGCCAAATATATAATAAACATAATATAGCAATATAAATCGATAAACCCAGTTATACATCCCACTGCTGGGCACGGGTCTCCTCTCAGGCGAGGGTTTAATCCATAGTCAGCTACTCTGTTGCGAACCTTCTTCCACGTGCAGATTTCATCACAATATTTGCCCTTCACCGAAAAGCTCATGGCAAACTTGGCACCTCGAACCCACTGCCTCTGCTTGAGAAGCGGTAGATCATAACCTTAGATTACAACGGCTTCTTAAGAATCAATACGACCTCAGCACGAATTCAAATTTGTACCGTGTACTGAATTGGTTCTGTTGCGGGTCAACCGGCAGGGACATTGGCTTTATTTCAGAATGATTTTTTTTACAAACGAAATTATAGTCATTTGAAAAATGTACATCGTATACTATAGTTGTACTATTTAGTTATATACATATTATGTAAATAACCTATTGAATACAGGGGTTTTCTTGTAAAATTTCGAAGTTAGTTTGTGTTTTTTTTTTCTTTTGTGAAAATATTTAGGAATCGTGTTTTCACAACGTATCCTCAATTTTACTATATTTTTTTCAAAGTGATTGATTCGACACTTTCGCTGTTCGCGGAATCAAGCAAAGCCATTTGAGGTTGTATATTATATGTATATTAAGACTTAAATAGTAACAGCAAATTTTATTTAAAAAAAAAACCATTTTAAAAGAAACTTACCTTCTTTTTGAAGAACAAATTGCTGGTTCTGTAGTCCCCATGTATTAAGACGGGATGGCCGAACGGCCTGTTGAACCTCTCGTACATCTCCGCCCCATCAATTTCCATGAACTTCATCACTCGTTCCCTATGGTTTTCATTCGCAATGTGTTTCAAAGCCTGCGATATCAATTTAGGAAAATATGCGTCTTTCACAGCCTCGTCGGAGTTCGGCTTGGTGAACCATAAATATTTCATTACCCGGTCGAATTCCTCCGGCCGCTCGTTCTGATACGCAAATGACAAAGCGTGAAACTTCGCTAGCTCTTCAATGGCGCTTGAAGCGTGGTACCAATCCAAGGACTTGTGCCTATTGTAACCGTAATAGCCTCTCGCAGCTAAATCTTCCAAGACTACCGTCTCTTCGCCAATTTTCGAATTGCAGCCGTAAAACTTTGGTATCTCGCACCTGTCGTCTCCCACAACACCGTGTTTATCTTGTAAATCTTCGTATGTTTTTACTAATTCATTGTAGAAAAAGCCCTCTATGGCGAACATCTTCGTTGCGTTCATTAGTTCTCGCATTCTATCACCGACGATGGCAACTTTTGCAAATAGACGCAAGTCTTCTTTATCCTTTGATGTTAACGTAACCGAGAATAACTCTGAAGTATAATTTGCCCCTCCACTGTGAAAGCTCTTGATTTTGAGTTCGTACTCGTCGTGGTAATGTTTTTCGGCGACGGTGCGCAGGAGTTCCCGCAGCGTGACTTCGGCTGGCGACATGTTGCGCGGGCGACGAACGAGTTTCTACTGACCTAGTACCGGATTGTGTAACGCCTATTCTGTTCTATGTCGGTGATTGATAATTTTGCACCGTGACAGCTGTAGGTCGGTCATAGAAAAGGTTATCCTAAATGTGATAATTGAAGTTAAAAATCTGTTAAAAAACATTGCGGTCGCATGGTTGCTGCGTTAGTTGCACCCAGTTTATGTTATACGATACCTACGCACATAAAAAGACGCTATGAACAAAACGTGCACTTGAATTAAACAGGTACAACTCTAAAACAAACAGTTAATTATGTTACTAAACTGTTAAGTATGTAACCACAACACATTAGAGTCTGTGTTTCTGCCTAAAGTGTCTCACATTATATTATATTCATATTATATTATTATTGAGAAGAAACCTGTTAGAAACCTCCGATTAATCACATTACGTCTCATCTCCACTTATTTGCAGATAATATCTATTCTTTATCTCCTGGCTAACTATCGTAACTAACTTTAGGTACAATTTCCGGATAACATTGGGACAATAAATGTGACAAAATCATTTACTCGAGCACAGTAGAGTGATATCTTAGAAAACCATAACCCAGTTTTAGATTATTGAAAATGTTTAATGATATTATATTAAGTCGGACACGTTAATTAACTGCTTTTAAACAGATAATTTTGAGCTCTATCTAATTCTATTTAAAAGGGATATTGGACCACTTGTCACTTAGCCGAATTTTAGTTAGTACACGGCAGTAGCTTTGAAAAATGGAGTCGCTTCCGATTCCTTCTGGCTTCAGGCTAATTAAAAAAAAATGTTTTTGCAATTTAAAATATTTTTTATCATTACAAGAAGTTAAAGTATGATCTTTACCATTACAAGAATGGTAAAGATATTAATGAAATTAATTTAATAATGAATTAATAATGTTCATATATATATTTTTTTTAATTATGCACCTATATATTAAATTTTTGTACGCCCGTAGCGGGTTCGTAATGTTTACCACATTCAGACAATTAATAAATTCTATTATAATCCGTAAAACTAAGTAAGATTATATTTACTAAGTTACTACATATTTACAACGAGTATGTAGAATCAAAGTGACCTAATTTAAAAAAATAACAAAATTAATTCATATCGTAAAACGTCTTTCAAAATCATTGTTCCATCCATTGATCCATTATAGCTCGAATGGCACGGACTTAATAGATGGGTCTCTTTCATATGTTAGAAATTCCACTCCCGCGCCAGTATGTAAACGCCGCATTATGTTGAAACTATATTTGCAAAGCCAACACGAAACCACCTTGGCGAAAATAGGACGGATTGAGCCGTTTTCTTTCCGAAAATTATAACTAAATACTAACATACGCGTATTACTTAACTACAAAGTACCTACTTTCTTTTAGAATTAAAATGGCTTAATCTTAAGGCGAGTCATCGAAGGAGAAACGGGAAAAACTGTTTTGATCAAATGATGTGCCTATTTACTATTAAATAACGATATTACAAAATATATACGATACACATAAGGATATTGTCTAAAGAAAGTGCTTATGTGTTAAACGATAGGATGTATGTAATTCATCCGATCATATAAAATGCTGAAAACATGCAAAAATACAAATCTAAAACGAATTATTTAACAATAAAATATATCCAACTTTGTACATAATTTTTGTACAGAGATATTTCTCTTCAAGCACTACAGAGAACCTGCCAAATTTTGACTTGTAACGTTGGGCTGGCGACGTCGACAAGCGAACAATAAATCAAATCATTTTTATCCCAAAATTTGCAAATTACCTGTAGGTTAAACGACAGCCGCCATCGGGCGCTTGTCGACGTCGAGTCTGTGTCAAATTTTTTTGTTCTTATTTTAGTCCTATGAATTTACACCGCGCGGATTGCAAGACGCAATCCGACCTCCTAAAATCTAGGCTCACGAATACCTCGCCTTAACAAGGTCATTACATTTTGCTAAGCTGGTGAATATGGAAGAAACTTAATTCTTGTTAGTTCAAACGATTACAAAAAGTTTAGTAAAAAAGTGATCGACAACTTTTTGTAAATTATATCCTATCCTATCTGCCATTGAAGCTATTAATAAAGATCTTCTTGTGGTGAAGTCTTGGGCTGATGCGTTTGGTTTGCTTATAAACCCAATGAAATCACAGGCAATAATCGTAGGTAGCAACAGACTTTACTGTAGGTTGGACATTGATAATCTCGCCAAGGTTTCGTATAATGGAGTGAGTCTTGCATATGCTGATAATACAAAGAGCCTGGGTCTGATAATCGATCATACACTGTCTTGGAGACCGCAGGTAAATGAGGTTAGTCGACGCATGCATTTTTCCTACCATTCTCTCAAGCGGCTTCAATTCTTCTTGCCATTCAATACGAAGGTTATGCTTGCTCAATCTTTACTACTTCCTCTTCTCGACTATGCCGATGTTTGTTATTTTGATGCTACTGAGGAGCTGCTTAACAAACTGGAGCGCCTACAAAATCTGGCAATCCGTTTCATATTCGGTTTACGAAAATATGACCGTGTCTCTGAATTTCGGACTAAGTTGAAATGGCTACCAATCCGACTTCGCCGAGATATGCACGTTCTTTGTCTCCTTTATAAAATTCTACATAACCCCCAGCTTCCTCATTATCTGTGTTCCCGTTTTTCTCCCTTATCCCCCAGTTCCCGCCCAAAACGTACCTGTGACACTAGATCACTAATAAATCCCCAATCCAACTCGAAATTCTTCCACAACTCTTTCACGGTGAGTGCAACTCGTATGTGGAATAAACTGCCTGCTGGCATTCGTGACAGTCCATCGGTGGCATCTTTCAAACATAAATTAAAAGAGCACTACCTGTCGAACGCGTTAGATAGCTAATAGGTAACATATATTATAAAGTAGTAATTTGTTTAGATTATAATATATATTCTGTTTATGTTTGTATTTATATTGTATTTATATATATATATATATATTAATATATATATTATTTTTATTTTTTTTTTATTCACATTTAAATTTAAATTTTATTGTCCAATAATTAGTCCCGCAGACTTCATTTTTCACCAAGGCTAGGGTTGGCTGGAAGAGATCTCTTCTAGAGATAAGCTCACCTTTGTATATGTCCTTTATAACTTGTGTTTCATGTATCTTTTCTTTGTGCAATAAAGAGTTATTATATATTTTGAAATTGTTAAATATTAAAACAATCAGAAGCAATTGTTCAGGTCATAAAGTTAAATGCGAATATTTAGTACTTCAAAAGCAATAAATAATCTCAGTACAGGATACTAAAAAAACCGACATCAAAAGTTCGTGGCATTACATTTGCCAAGTTTTATTGAATTCGGTTACCGGAGAGTTGCGCGATACGATGGAATATTTTCTTCAAATTTAAATGGGCCCTGGGTCCACTTCTGAGGTACCTGCCCTCTTTCCAACAAAAGAAGAATCATCAAAATCGGTTCACAAATGCCGAAGTTATCGCGTAACATACATACAAAACAACAGTCGAATTGAGAACGTCCTCCTGTTTTGGAGTCGCTTAAAAATAATGTGAAAATGTCACAACTTCAAATCTTATTTAGCGTATTCCCAAAAGGTTGGAATTTTGTGTTGAGTCACCTCTAGTAGAACAGCGATAACAGTCGTAAATTTCCAAACAAATAGCTCTTACAATTTAGCACTTAAGTACGTAAAAACTTCTCTTTTCCATTTAATTGCAATATCTCATTGTTTATACACGAGTAACTACATATGAAGGTGGTATAAACTGCATTCGTGAGGTGAACTTGAGATTGTTATCAGTAATAAACAGAGCCCGTATCGCAAACGTGAGTAGCTAATAATAGATTTCTATGATCTCCGCGTCTTGCATTATATGAATACGCAAATAATACTTACAACAGACTTAATCGTGAAATATTCCATAATATTGAACGTTTGTTATAAAACTGTTTTTTAAACGGAAGCAATTATTTGGTCTGTGGTTTTTCAGATCCCTTTGCAGCTCCCATGGCCACGGAATCAACCATGAGCATAGAACCTGTAAAGTGCTCGAAACGTTGATTTGTTTGAAAAAATAAATATACGCGATGACATTTATCTAGATATTAACTGCCTCCGTGGGTGAACGGGTACCACCACGGAAGAAAAAAAAACAATGCCTTAAGCCTCGATTTCGATGAGAACCGATGTCGCCAAAACGGTTACCTATCAGATGTTCGAAATGACATTTTCCAGAAATAACGTTCGCTCGAATTTTCATAACCTCGAAAGTAATTTTGAGAGGAAAATGTTTTTTCTTTTAAACCTAACTTAACCTAACCGAAGCTAATCGTGTCTTTGCGATAAACGTCCAACATATTCTGAAAGAACAATGGTTTCGTTATAATTCGGTTTTCGGGGTAATGAAAATTCGAACAAACGTTATTTCGGAAAAAATAAATTCGAGTTTGTGATAGGTTACCCGCAAAAACTCACACATGTTTAATTTGAAACACTACAAAATCTTGATATTGATTGGTCGTAGGTTCAAATTTAAAAAGAAATAACAAATTCTGGACTGTTAATATAATTTAAACTTTACCCTGGCATATACGAGTATACATACATACATATACAAAGCGAAAATGGCAGACTGAGCTCAGATAGGTCTTTCGAGACCTATGGTTGGCACACACGCGTCGGACGGTATCTAACCACTTCTACTTTATTTATTGTTCTGTGGTTACCATACTGGACTGCCACGCAGAATTCACAGGTTTCATTCCTGGGTTGGGAGAAATATTTGTATGGCCTACATTTGTGTGTCGATGGCACCCGCGATACAGGGTTTCCCTAGGGCTATGAGTGTGTAAAAATTTAAGAAAAAGATAAGAAAAATTTATTCTAATTTCTGATCTGTTACAAAATTTAGATTTCATGTCTGTTCTAATTTTTAGAGAATATTATTAGAAATAGAAATAGAAATAGAAACCATTTATTGTAACGCCACATTATTAAAAAAAAACACAAAAACAAAGACTAATACTTATAACTAAGACAGAAATAACACAAAGAACAGCGTAAAAAACATTTCAACAACAAGTTGCATAATACTATACTGACATGTGTGCGGCTGTGGCGTGTACAAAAGGATCCC